GAAAGAAAATGAAGAGAAAAAATAAGAAGAATGAGGAGGTAGGCATAGCCTTCAAATCTACAAATGAGAGCAATCAATATTCAAATGAAGAGGTGGATGAAGACGATGATGAAGAAGAAGAGATAGTTAAGCTCTTCAAAAGATTCAAGAGATTCATGACTTCTAAGGAAGTAAAGCATGAATCGAGCAAGAAGAAGAGTCCCTCTGTGTGATTCAATTGACAAAGAATGGGGCATGTAAAGTATGAATGTTTCATCCTAAAAAAGAATGGATCAAGCAAGAAAAAGGCATTTGTGGCAACTTGGAGTGATGAAGATGACTCTAATGATGAAGATGAAGTAGTCAACCTATGCCTCATGGTCATCGGAGAATATTCAATGGTAACTTCTAACTCAAATGAATTAGATTCTTATTCTTTGATGAGTTACAAGTTTCTTACAATGAGTTGTATTTGGAATTTGATACCATGAATTCCAAATATAAGAAATTAAACAAATATAAGGAATTTGATTATTTGGTTTTGAAAGCAAAAGTTGATTTTGAAAAACAAAATGAATATTTGAAAAATGATTTAGAGCTTTCAAAAGTTAAAATCAATGATTTAGAAAAAAAAATCATTTGAAAGTTAAGCTTGAGAGCTTAACAAAAGAAAAAGAATTAATTTCTAAAAACAACTCATTATGTTTAAAAATGACAAAATGCTCACATTGTCATTTTCATGGTCATTTGGAATATACTTGTCATTTGAAGAAAGGAAAACGTTTTAAAATTAGACAAGTATGGGTTCCCAAGGGAACAAGGTACATTGAAACTAACGTCCAAGGATCCAAAGCAATTTGGATACCAAAATCTACTTAAATGTCTTTTGTAGGTGTGTAGGAGCAATGGTGATGAAAATGAAGATACTCAAATGCTCTAGCCATACTTGAAAAGGAATTGGTAACCCTTAATGCTTTTGTTTTTGATTATTTGGTTGCTCATTTAAGTTTAAGCATGCATGAGTTTTGATTTTAAATGATTTTATGTTTTGTATCTCATGTATGTTAAAAAGGTGTAATTATGAACACTTTAAAGATTTAATGGTTTTTCATAATTTTTGTTCATCATAATGAATTTTGGTTAAAATTGGTTTTAAATGAAAATAATATATCTCTAACAATTGATATCGATTTTCAAAATGTTTTTATTTTAAAAAAATTTAAGTTTTTGATCTAAATTTAAATGTTTATGCATGTAATTTAAAAATCCAAATGATATCTCTCTAACAATAGATATAACAATTTTCAAATGCATAACATTTTTGGAAAGCTTTATGCATATGCACTTAATTTCAACATTTGGTATTGCATAGCAAAAAAAAAACATCAAATTCAGCCCAGGAACTAATAATTTACTCACAATATGCAACTGATGTAAAAATGTTAAAATGATCCTAAAATAATCCTAATGATGCTAAAGTTCAAGTTTAACCTAGGTAAAAATGTTCTATGTAATAATTCTTTTGGAGAGTTATCATAATATAAAAATCATCCTAACACACAACTAATACATTCTTCCTAACATCAAATCAACAATCAATCATGCTTATAAATCAAGATTTGCATAATTGGTTATTTTTATCATTATAGGCATAGTAATGCACATTTTAAGCTTATTTTGGTAAATTTACCTGTTCTAACACTTAAAGATGACGAAGAGCTCTAAATCATAATATCACAAAATTGATTATGCTTACAACCATAGCATACCAAACTGATTGATCATGTGTGCAGCTATAGCATACCAAACAATCATTATACTAATGCATCATTCATCGTCATGTGATCATAAAATGAAACATTAAACCACAGTTGAAATCCAATGTTTAAAGTTCCACTATCCAAAATTAAAGTTTAAGTCAACACTAACTAATCTCTAAAATTGTAAAGAGAATCTCCCATTATCATAATTTTATCTACAACCATGATCGAAGATCAAACTGCGAATAAAAACTTCACAATTTTACAAGTTATTTCTTTTCTTTTCTTGAAAGAGGATACTTTGTATTAATGATAAACAAAGTACACCACCTCAAGGACCTCATTAAAAAACTCGCTAACCCTAAATAGAGGAAAA